TTTCCCCAGGGCTTGCTTCGCAGGCTAACAAACACCAAGAAGCTCATACTATTCAGAAGCTTATAACCCATAAGGTCATAACCTTCTAACTCCACTGTTTAGGAAGTCTCTCTGATGAATGTTATTTTATATCGCGTAGTTACTGCAGTTAAGCGTTAGCCAAAGTTATATTTTATCTTATTCTCGTTTTTATCCTATTTAAATTGTTATCATTTAAACAGGATCCCTTTGATCACAGTACTTCTGTATGGAGGGGCTATCCTGTATAAATATTCTTTATCATCATCATTATTATTATTCAACACGAGAAGAGAAATTTTCTACCTCCAAGCGGCCATGTAATATTTTTACATATTTATAAGGAAATTTTGCTCTTCCGCCGGGAAAACCAAACATTATTGTAGTACTCAAATATGGGTATCAATTAAAAAGTAAAGTTTTGTCTAAGGAAAGCCGATCGTGAGAGTTTTCATCATCGGTTTTATCTCTAGAAAAATCATACCTTAATGTCTGTAAAACTCAATCGCTTCCGTCCGACCCGATTACCAACGAAGCATTCACACACATTGACAGTGCTCGCAAATAGAAGCAGCGTAAACAACAACGCTTGAAGTTTGGTGTTCATCATCTTCAAGTTGCCACAATAAGAACGGTACGTTGAAAATGAGACGCTTATACTGAGTAAATGTGGGAATGAAGAATTATGCTCTGTAACTGCTTAATTAAAGTATTTCATTATGAGGCAATAATACTGTTTGCAATTGCAACTGTGTTACTTAGTGTAAATTGATAATCATCCGTGCGCAAGGGATAATGACAAAACTGAACACGCAATAAAACATCTTTGAGGGAGATAACGCATTGTTTGGCAACATTTACTTACCAAATTCAGCTCTCTTCCGTCTCAATACTTAGTTTTCTTTGCTGGTTTAGTCTCTTGCCGGATTGAATTAACTCAGAGAGTATAAGTAAAACAGAGTTTTCTTTTTACGTCCATCTCATTGAGACAAAAGAGCCATCCTTAATCTTTTCGAAAACAATCAATTAACAACTAATTATGATAGTAAATGGCCTCTCAAACAATAGCTTTTGTTTACAAAGGTCTAAAAACTTTTTACGCCAAAAATCATGCATTACTTTCACCGATATTCTAGTGCTTTTTTTTTCGTCCAATTTCCCTTTGTTGGTCTTTTATTTACATCATTCTTAGAAGTTCTTTACCGCAAATTTTATTCATTAATTGTGCCTAATCTTATCCTTTAAATTGTTTGATATTGCCGACGGTCTCCATTTGTCCTCAGATCTCGCACGACATCTGTAGGTGTCTTGTGCCCTTTTTTTTTCTCGATTTTCGATTTTCGATTTCTAATCGAGTAATTGTAGTAACCGTCTTATCATTTGCAATTCTACTATAGCAACAGGCCCAATTAATCCCCTAGCTTCCATTCTTTTGTTCGTTTCCTTTTGTTTGAAAGTAATTAAATAGCATGTTTTGTTTGGAATGCAGAAGCATTTTAGGCCATCATACAAATATTGCTTAATTACTCGAAAGCTTTGTAATGCATGAAAGCAAGTCTTGAAAACTGAATGGAGAGTTCTAGACTGAATGAGAACTCTTAGTTTCAAATTCCCGGAATATTTTCAAAATGAAACAGAAAAATTGAATTTCAAGCTTAATTTAAAGCTGAAAAGGAAAAACCGTGACGGTTATCACTTGTAATGCAAACTACCAGTAATTACGTTCTTTGTTTACCTGAGCTAATAAAAAAAAAAAAAATAAAAAATAAAAAACTCTTCAGTGATCAGTGCCAGTTCTTCCAGCCCCGTTCGTTAGGAGTCCCCTATACTTTTTACTTAAAGTGTAATTGGGCGTTTTTTTTTTTTCTCGTGAACTGATCGTGATTTTACTTTTTTTTAAAACGTAACCCGTGAATTAAGAGCTGAATTAAACGTGTTTCGTGAAGCATTTTGTTCTGCGTGAAGAATTTCTATCTATTTAATTGTTTTGGAAGTGTACGGCTGTGGTTAGGGTTTTGATCACGGTTTTCAGTGACAGGACGTGGACTTGATACGGATCGATAAAAGTCATAAAACATTACCAATGGTTTTTTTATCATTATCAAGTTGCCACTCACCGAACAGTTGGAAACGAAACGCTTGTATTGTATACTGAGTAAATGTGAAAATGGAAAATTATGCTCTGTAACTGCTTAGTTAAGGTATTCCATTATGTAGCAATTAACATTGTTTGTGTTACTTGGTGTAAAATGATAATCATCCGTGTACAAGTGGTAATGGCAAAACTGAACACGTCATAAATCTTCTTTGCGGGATATAGCGCATTGTCTTGGGAACATTTAGCCAAATTCAACTCTCTTCCATTTCAATATTTAGTTTTCTTTGCTGCTTTATTCTATTGTGAATGAGGTAAATGCGAGAGTAAAAATATACCAGAGCTTCCTTTTCACCTCCAACTCATTGAGACGAAAGAGCCTTTAATCAATTCGAAAACGAACAATTAGCGACTTGTTATCTAAGTAAATTGCATTATAGACAGTTGCCTTTGTTTACAAATGGGGAAAAGTTTTTCCGCCAAAAATCATTTCGACGTTATTCATTATGAGTTCGTATTTTTTCTTACCGTTGCATTTTTCTTTAAATTGTCTGTTATATCGGCTTCCTTAACCAGCCATTTGTCCTCGGATCTCGTGCGGCGTTTGTAAGAGTCAGGTGTATATCTTTTTTCTCTTTATTCTTTCAATTTCTTAACGTATAATTGTAGGAACCGTCCTATTATTTGTAAATTTATTTAACCAACAGCTTCAATTTCAACTAACAGCTTCAACTAACTTCCATTTTTCGGTTCGTTTCGTTTTGTTTAGAAGTATATAAAAGAGCATGTTTTGGACATGTACGAGTATTTTAGGCCATCATGCAGATAATGCTTCATTGCTTGTGAGGCTAGTGAATTTTTACTCAAGCACAGTTGTGAATATTTATTCAATCAATCAAGGTTACAAAGGGTAATGATTTTTTATGGTGGTGATGACTTTAAAAACACAAAAATCGGTAAAAAGGCCTAAAAAAAAAAACCCTTATTTTGAACAGTCCAGTACATTCCTGTGCGTGATTCAAGTGTTCACAATTGTTCTTAAACATTCTTCTCATTAGCGATTTAATGTAAACTTATCAGCATATAACGAACGCTCTAGCTATCCTATCATCTTTTTAGTCTTTTTTTATCTTCTCAAATAAATAGATTGAAACCTTTGGTTTTATTATGTTGAGATTCATTCAGTACTGAACATGCACTCTTTCTGCTTAGGTTTAGTTTAGCAGTGAAATAAAACTGAAGGGAGCACTTAGAGGTGCTGTGTCTTTGGGGGTACTAAAAGATAATTTGGTTTTACTAGTTTATACATAAATTGCGGTGTTTCACAAGGATTTCCAGCCCTGAGAAAAGCCTTAACAACACACGTATAAAAACTAGACCTATTATGTTTATATTAGACCTATTACGTCTATATAATAAACAAAATAATACATAGTCACTTAATCATGGTCACTTTTTCGACTAAAGGACTTCCGTTCGGACAAGCTGACTCCTGTCACTCTTTCACTCAAAGTTGGTTGAGAATCGTCAGTAAAAAATGAAATTAGAGATACGTGACCTGCATACTGCAGGGATCAGTAATGTAAAACAAAATGTAAATAAAACTGAGGTAAACGCGGGTTCCGATGTTCTACCATCGAGCAGAATAGAACCCGATTGTGAGAGAGTTCGTAGACCAGGTTTAGAAGTTACAATCGTCCTGCACATTGCTATGGTCAGAAATTTCGCAGGCATTTTGTGTGTGTTTGTGTGTGTATATAGAGAAAGATGATAAGTTTTGAGCTGGGTTGTCGTCGATCATAAAAATTATCATTCATTTGTCACGGCGAGGAACAAAACAGAAACCCGATTCCCTTTCCCTCCGGGAATCGTCGAACATCAGGCTTCAATTTTAAGGTTACCGTGCACCTTTAGGAGTGTCTCGCGTGCAAGCGATGTAGCGCGTCCGTTTAAACTGTAGATATCTAATTAAAGCTTATAGGACTGGCTATCAGACTATACCAAAAATTAAAAAAAAAGAATGAATTGTCGAATTTTTCAAGACTTCTAAATGCGAGCGCCCGAATCACCTTTTGAACGGTAATGTTAAAGCGAATTTTGTTTTTCGCTTATTTAATGCGTTCCTTCGTTTCCGGGGCCAAAGCGCCAAAAAAACGTGTCTGCGATTTGTCATCAATTTCAGTGAAAAGGTACAGAACATTTTTGAAATAGGATTAAAAAATGTGGAGTGATCGTACAAAAATCGCTCTTGAAAAAAAAGTATTTAGAAATAAAAAATTCGGAGAAAGGTTTTTGTTGTATATATATAAAACTAGCTACTGTCAAAATTTGAGACCAATCGAACAAATTCCCTTTGACTTGTAGCTCTTAAAAGGTGATTTGGGGCGTTCGCATTTAGAAGTCGTGAAAAATTCGACAATTAATTTTTTTCAAAATTTTTGTTATAGTCTGATAGCCAGTCCTATAAGCTTTAATTTGATATAGGGGTTTAGATATCTACAATTTAAACCGGACGCGCTACATCGCTTGCACGCGAGACACCCCTGAAGGTGCACGGTAGCCTTAAGCTCTATTGCCATATGACGTAAATTTTAAATGCTCTGACGGCTTAGAAGATGTCCACAGTGTCGTTGATGACAAGGTTCAATTTTCAAAAATGAGTGTTTAAACTTTTGGATCGAAAACGCTTGTTCAATTCGATTCATGTAGAGTCCAGTTTACTTGAAATTGTTTCAATACTTAAGAGGGACAAGGTAGATGCTTGAAATAAAAAGTGAATATTTAAATTTCAGAGTCGATTTTCCTTTTCATTAAAATTTTCAATACATTTTGATAAATTTTTTAAATATTTAATTTGATATGTACAATTATCATTTTTATCCTGGGCTAGTTAAGAAATGGACGTTTTCTCCATGATTTGCAAGATCGGATTCTCAGTTAAAGCATCATCAAGCTTCCCTGCTTCGACTGATCCTCGGCATGTTCCTTTCGCAACATCACAGGGGTCGAGCGCGTACAAAGTCTGGGTCCTAAACACAAACAAAACAAGGTTATAAAAAGAAATCACGAAACATACTTGTTTGTCTTAGCGTGCATGGCCCCTAAACCACAGGGGTCTTGAGGCCAGGGGAGGGGAGGGAGGGGGGAGGGAGGTGCTATACTTGGATTATACATCATACGAAATAAGAACGAAAAAAAAACAATAACAGCGACGGAATTATTGTTTCTTTACCTCTGATGCAATTCGACGGTTTTCTGCTTCAAGTGGTGTATCACTTCCCCCTCTGGACAGCTTATAAAAGAAAATGTAGAAGAAAATACTTATATATCAAGCGAACATACAAAAAGAAGTAAAGTGTGATATGCATGATATAAAACAACCCCTTGTTAAGATAACTTTTGGTATCATGCATGTCGATTAATAACCGGAACTGAGAAAACTTGCTGCTGCAAACAGACACGGACCTCCTGATACGGTATTCAGCGCCCTTTCCACTCTTGAACAACCGAGTTTCTTATATTTTTCCTCTTCAGAAGAAATCAGTCGTAGTGCGTGTAAGGGTGCGTGCTTGCGTGCGTGGAAGCGTGTGTGCAGGTTCACGTGCGTGCGTGCGTGTGAGCGTGCGTTCTCTGATTGCTCGACCCTCTTTCGTTCCTTTCTTGATCGTTCTTTCGTTCGTTTATTTGCAATAGTTCGTTTTTATCCATTTACATTTCCAAAAGAACCGTTTGCTGCCTACACATTTTCTTTTGACGCAAGCATTTTATTGACCGGGCCAACGCGTCTCGCTCGCGTTTCCTTTCTCATAAGTTAGTCATTTACCTTCCCAAAGAACCTTTTGCGTCCAACGCACTGACTTCCCGGCTTGCATTGCCAAAAACAGTCGCCCCGGCCCACCAAGCAAGTCAGAAATATAGCAGTTAGCAAGAACATTCGCACTTTGGTGTTCATCTGAAATGAATCACAACGGAGAAAACTTGCCATGAGAGGTGAATGAGCTCAGTAATCTCAACGAGATGACATCAAGCTTCTACTAAAGATGTTGAGTGCCTTGTACAGAGAGGAAATTAGTAAGTGCGTAACCTTAACTTTTAAAGGTAAATAGTGTTTGATAATAGCTTCCTTAACAAAAAAAATTTAATCGAAAGATTGATCAAGTCGAAATTGCTTAATTTTTTAAAAAGTTTTAAGTATTTTTTCTCGATGCCTGTCCCGGCTTCTGAGGGATAGTGCTACTTGCAGCTACGTAATAATAACATTTCAGCTATTTGGAAATACTTGCCGCCAGTTAGAAGTCTCCTAAACGAAATAGTAGTCCATTGTAGGTCTTCTCTAGTTTAGCAGCCTTTGGTAAGGAAGGCAAGTTATAAATATTATTTGGTAATATCAACTAAGTTGAAATTGTAAATTGGCCACCGTATAGAGTTAAAAAGCTGACGTTTCGAGCGTTAGCCCTTCTTCAGAGCTCTTTACGGTGGCCAATTTACAATTTCAACTTAGTTGATATTACCAAATTATTTTTTTACCCCCACCGACGCAGCACCACAGTTTCTTTAGAAACAACCCCATTTATTCAAGTTATAAAAATTATTGCCAACTTACATTTCCAGATTTGTAGAATTATCTCTTCCTATAATACTTGGGGTTCACTGATGAATACCGGTCACTTCCTTTTGGCCGGATCACGGTTTGAACATTTGCCTGCCAAACATAACCGAAAAAAAAAAATTGAAATAGATTTGCAAATATTTATATCCCAACTGGGCGTATAAGTTCGAATGAAATGAAGGTGTGTTGGCAATTGTGACAGTTTAATTTCCGATCTGTGATGTCGTTTCTCCAATTTCCGAAGTGAAATGCCTCATTCGCTGGCAAATTTCCGTTCCATGTTGCTATTAGAGGAGATTTGCGAAGGCAACAGTTAAAAAAAATATCTATAGTAACAATGAGTACTCAATTTATTGTGTCTGTAATATTTGCTTTGGAGATATAAAGGCGGTGAACAACGATAATAATAATAGTCTATATCCAAGTCCTTCAGCTTTCAGCTGGTTTTGTTGTCGTTGTCTTTTTTTATTTAGAGAAAAAGAACTCACTTTGGAACTGTTTTATTAAAAACGGTTATGAATGAATAAAAAGGTCATCGATCCTTTTTATAATTTACTTTCAAAGAAATGTTTTTTTCAGAGACATGCAGAGAAACCAAACAAGATTTTGAAAGGAGACATTTGCTTCAGAACTCTGTAGCTTGAGAATCAAACTAATGTATGTTCTACCTCGAGATTTGAAGAATTATGTTGAACGTTATCAAGTTGCGGAGATTGCTCCTTGATTGTTCCTGACTTTTGAAGTTCTCTGTTTGAGGAATTTCTTTGAGACAACAACAAAACCGGTCATTGAGGAAATTTCTCGTTAGCGTTTCTTTAAACTTGTACTAATAAACCCTGCCTTTGTAAATCAGTAATTCAAACACCAGCCGGTAACTTTCCGTCGCTTCTTGGCGGCCAGAATTTTCTTGTCTGTTCGAGTTTGCTCAGAAGGCGTTCTGTTTCCGTTGAAGAGAGAGACCTGCTCGTATCAAAGTGGGCTCGTGTAATTTACTTGAAAGGGTTTAATTTTGTATACATGGAACATCTGCGGATGATTTTAAATCTCTAGGAAATACTTATATTCATCATTACTTTGTGGTAAGGACATTCAGTAACCAGAATCTTTCCTCAAAAATTTACCTTGTGAACTTTAAAAGCCTTTTGTAAAATCAGTCGGGATACCAAAGTTGCATCGTCTGTCTCACTGAAATTCCCCTGTATTTCATTAGTGAGTTTCTAAAAGACACGTTTGTCTCGTCGATTTAGAGCGTGGGGGTAAGTTTTTTTTCCTTCTGGGTTAAAATAATTGGCGTACATAAAAGGAAAGGAATATTTTTATCAAATTGAAACCAGGCATACCACTCGTTTTTGAACAATCGAAAAGGATATCGGTGTTGTGCAATGCAGATGATGTAAAAGTGGACGTAGTTTTCGAATTCTGAGACATTAGCATATCGTGTATAGGAAAAAAAGTGCGACAAAATTTCATTAAAAGTATTGTAGAAAAAAGTGACGGCTTCAGTAAAAAGTTACGAGGTTTTGTGAAATCCCGTTTAAAAAATTCAATGTTAACTCTCATGGATGACATAAAACGGCGTTTTTACAGTAACAGAAGACACCAAAATTAGATTTGTAAGCAGGTTACTATTCCATTCATTAACTGTCTGCGCCCTAACTTCAGTGTGCATATTCTCCATAAAATTCCCTATACATTTCCACAGGTGCTGACAAAGAGAATTTACGACGATCAAGAGCTGCTTTAGTTGGTGATCATTTCGTCTATTCTAATACTGTTGGGAGAAATCTAGTCTCGATTACCAGCCGCTTTTCGGGAACCGGAGCCCACGCTCCTCCCCGAAGTCTCGTCTCGGGGAGGAACGAAAAAGACCGGACCCGAGAGAGCGGCGGAAATCGAGCTTCGGAGAGATCATGATCTTCATGGCAAAGGTGATATCGAAAGGAGAAAATATATGCTAGTCACTCTTAGAGATCAAGGCGTTAATTACGGAAAAAGAAAGTTTGAAATTCCATTCAGTTCTCTGAAATAATGTCGATATGTGCTTTGATATAGGTGGATTCATGCTGACGTCATTGTTTACATTTTTGCTCATTTGTATACGGCTTTGCGTAAAGAAGGAAGCATGTTAGATACAAATTGACTTCAGTCAGCTAAAGAGCTAGAGAACCTTAGTACATGGTGAAATTTTTAGCTCCTTGGGTGTAATATTCAAGGAGAAATAGTCCATCAAAAACTGCAAAATTTCTGGGTGGCAAAAGCGCTAATGAGCTCAGACATTCTATGTAAAATTCTGAGTTTTTAAACCCGTGTTGTACAAAAAGTATTCAATGCATCAGGCTCGTATTCATTGGCCGAGTTAATCGTACTTTGACCTTTCGATATTCAGAACTGATTTATTTTTAGCCCCATCAGAAACTGAATTGCTTATGCTAACGAAGCAAATATTGTAAAGAAGGATTTCCCTATTGTCAAAGCGCAATATGTGGCCCCAAGCATTTACCAGATTTTTGTAGAGAAAAACTTGACAGTTGACTTAATATTCATGGTAAAAAACATCTGTGCATGTAAACGTTAGTCCGTTTTCCAAAATTTCTACCCACTGTCAATTCATTGAACTATTTCCAATTTATCTCGCACAAAGATTTAGCTGAGTTATTACACCTTTCTGTCCTAGCAATTCCTTCACAAGCCACATTTCGACCTTGATGTACTGTTTCAAATTTTTCATGAAAATTATTTTTAAAGGAGATCAACTTTGTTCGTGAATTTTCCCATACGGGCCTTTTATTTCTCAACTTATCAGCACACTCAAGGCTGGGAAGTGACGTCACATAAAATGTTCACGTGAGAGGCACGTGGGCTAAATTTCAACACAAGGTCCGTTTCCCGAAACGCCCAGTTAGACCGTCTGGCTTACGTTCCGAAGCCGTTTTTCAGTAAAAAATCTAATTCTAAGGAGATGTAGGGCGGCTCTTAGTCGTTCTGAGAGAGTGGTTTTTAAAGAGCAGTTTACAGATCTTTTAAGGACCAGTCATTATTTGGTCGGGGAAGGGAGATCGGAGTTAGGATTTAGGCCTAGGATTTAGGGGGGGATCACATGATTTTCATACGGAACGGACGGGGGATTAGTGTTTGCAAACAGAGATAAAAGAGGGGGGAGTCATAAGAGTACAACAGAGCCTTAGAGGGGTGTCCCAGGTAAATTATATTCTGACACAACCAAAATTCTTCAAAACTACCCCCCCCTCCCTTAGGTGATAAAGGGATTGTGGAGAATTTGAAAAGTGCCATTCTCAAATTTGAATTCAAGACCAAACGCAAACCTCGAAAATAGCACACAGACCTGCACATGTAGCTCGGATTAAGAACTTTTAATGATATGATCATGTCACTGTTGAGTTGCCTGGCTTACTTTTACCCACACTGGTCAACATTCTCTTAAATTTTCTAAGCTTACAGATCATTTTGAACACTAACAAAACAGGTAATATAGCTTCATTTTAAAACCTAAATTATTGACATTTTTAATTTTTATCTTTAAGTTTGATCAAGTTTGGTACAGGCGAACAAAGGACTACTATAAAGTAACGAAAAACGCATCCACAAAAATATATATAACTTTGAAGTCCTCTACTGCTGAAGGAAGGAAACCTTGAACCAAACTTGTTGTAGAACTCCTCCTTGATTAGCTTTCATTCAAATCCTTTTCTCGTTGTTGGTCAAAGTATTTCTCTAGCCTTCTCCATGACTGTGTGGAAAATAAAATGCAATTTATTTAGAGCTTTCGTATTACTCGACAAGCTGCTGTCTGTTATCACTTTATTTCTCCATTATCCTGTTTTTCTTTCCACCCTCCACCTTCTTTACGAAATGGATATATTTTCCGCATTTGCAGTGAGAACCGGTTTCTTTCGCGATGAATTTCATTATGACTGATGAATCGATTTTCCTCACTGTTAAATTTTCAACTCCGAATATCGCATTTCTAATGTCCTGATTGGTTCACACAACCCGGGTTATCAGCTCATATTCCGAGTCACTTTATGGAACTGCATTACACTAACTGTTGCAGAGCTGAAAAAAGCTCCAATCAAACAAACGTTCAGGATTTAATGAAGTCTAATAAAACAGTTATTCCATTCGCGCTTATTGGATATGAGATGTCTATTTACCATCTCATATTCAAGGCGCGCTCATGAAATAATTATTAAATATCGACATCCAGCTCTACAACAAAATGGAAAAACAATTACTCAAAATGAAAAAGAAAATTAATAAAAATCATTGTTTATGCAATCCACAGGTGTCAATGATACGACAGAATGGATGATGAAACATCCGGTTTTCAAAAGTAAATCATCTTAAAATTGTTCACGTTATCAAAGAAATTACCTCATATAATGTTTAATGCTGTCTTTAAAATTATGATCAAGTACAAAAAAAAAAAAACACCAATTTGAGAATTGTGCATTTAAAATTTTGAAATAAAAGAGGTCAGGAAGAAGCTTAAAGTTTGTTGATAAAATTTGTCGTCCATTCTGGCCGCGTTCCAGACACTTTAAAGAGCTTTTCTGACTTAGTCCAGCAAAGAAATTCTTCTTACAAAATATGCAGGCCCTGAAAGTTATCAATAAAACTAGGATTATAATTGAAATGGAAGTAAAAAGATATTATATTTCAAAGCTCATCCTGCCCACATTTTTGACCAAGCTCTGTTATCAAGAGAACTGGCTTACCAATCAAAACAAATTGTATAAGTTTGCGACGAAAGCCTGTTAACCGAAAAGGGTGATCGCCCTACTCAAAACAATAAGATGTTTAGAGAGCTATCACGGGCAGTGTTCAGTGAGACCCTCCAATGAGTTTAGCTCATTTTGAATTAAAAACAATCCATACGAATTCTGACTGAAGATCCTTACCTCGTCTAAGATAATGTTATCACCACGTTTACGCAGAATATCACGGTATATGCGTTTTGACTTCTTTGTTTCGAAACTTCTGAGAAACAAATTTCTCATCTCCTTTCGTTATAAACGCCCAGAACAAGATGACTAAATCCAGAATTGCTAGAAATTGAAA